TCTTGTCTAGGCTTTTTGCTAGTAGGACCTGGTTCTGGCTAAGTCCTTTTCTGCTTAGAATAGACAGAGAAATTTTCTTGTTAAGCTTTCCAGGCAGGACAATCTCCTTTCAGATGGCCATTTCGACCACAGTGAAGACACAATAAATTATCTGAGACAAACATATATTTACTGTGGGGGTTGTAAGGAGGAGTAATATTCAAACTTCCTAACCCCATTTCATTATTATTGATTTGACTTGTAACATTAGATAACAGTTTGGTGGAGCTGGTCCATTTTAAGGATACTTGAAGTTCCTCCTTAAGACGGACCAGGTCCCTCTCTATCTTATCATTTCTTTCCAGGGCTAAGGCAAGTCTGGTTATAGCCGTGTTTAAATTTCTTTCTAACTCTGCCTGCAGATTAGTAGCTTCCCCCTTCCTTTTACAAGATTTCTCAATCATCAAATCCAGCTGCTCCTTGAGTTCCAGTTTTTCAAATTCAAGAACCATCACTTGTTCCTCAAAAATAGACATCTGAACTACCATTACTTCCATTTCTTCATTTAGACTATCAAAAATATTGTTCATAGAGTCCCTTTCAATAGTTAACTCTATAACAGAGTCAATCAAGACATTTGCTAACATTCTCAACCTTTTAATAGAGTACGTATTCAAGTTTTGCTTAAAGTCAAGAAGAGTTACCTTATCTTCATCATCGTCTTCATCTGACTTAGCCATGAGATCAAACATCCCATTGAATATGTTAGCCTCGTCTTGAATCACCAGCATGGATGCATCTTTGGAACAATCTAAATCTCCTGACTCACTTGAAGAGTCTCCCCATGCAGCAAGAGCTTTCTTCACTACGTAGTCAGCTTTAACTTTTCTGGCTTTCATCTTGGGTTCCAGGTCCCTCCTATCTTTTTCACCTCCAGGTCTTGGATACTCTTTGGTTTCAACCTTGTGCATGGGGCAATCTTTGATGAAATGCCCTGACTTTCCACACTTGTGGCACATGTGGTTTGCATTTATAGCTCTGTTTGAGTTTTCTGCCTTTCGTAAGCCTCTATGTTTCCTTTCCCATTTTTAATACCTTCTCGTGAGGCATGCCATGTCCTTATCTTCATCAGAAGTTTCACTAGATATCATCTTGATAGCTAGAGACTTCTCTTTCTTCAACTCCTTCTTTGATGCTTCTTGATTTCTATTAAGTGGAGCAATCATCTTTCCACAGGAATCTCTCTTGGTGTTACCCAGCTAGAGAGCACCCGCTCTATTACCACTTGTTGGAATATGTGTGTCCATTACCAGTCAACGGACCAGGTCATTTGACACAGCAAAAACAGTGCAAAAGATTAAACAATATGAAGAACACAACACATGTAGTTTACGTGGAAACCTCCTTGCTCAAGGGAGTAAAACCACGACCTCTCACACAGGATTTTTAACTGTTTTCACTACTCTTCACAAGCAAAAGTGAAACCAAATTACAACAACGTAAGAAAAATCTATTAATCTCACAACCAAGCAATAATTCTACTGCTTGAAGAACCTGAGCAGTTTTACTCTGCCCACTAAGCTATCACCACTAGACAACTTACGATTCAACTAAGCAACACACAGGTTGCCCACTAAATCACCACGCTCTAGATGACTTAGGATTTTTACTAAGCAACACACAAGGTTGCCCACTAAATTAGTTTGACTCAACTAACTTAGACTTCTCAACAAACCAAAGAATTTGAATCCTTTATAGATTAGGGACAGATTTACAATGTAAGCATGGAACAAATAATCCTAAGACAACTAAGTAGCTTGCAACTCTACAGGTCCATGTTGCTCTTAGGATGATCCTTCTTGAAGATGGCCTTTGCTTTTTGAACTTTTGGATTTTTGAAATCCAAAACTTTTGTTTGCCAAAACTTGTGTTTGTGTTGTTGGAGAAGAGACTATATTCAAATGTACACAAACCTTGGAACGAGCCTATTGGCTGAGTGTCTGCTGTCATAAAAAGTTGTGCACCAACCCCTCAGACTTGGCAGTTTTTGACAGCTGTCTTTTCGTCCTTTTCTCGTCACAGTCTTCGAAGACCAGGTCCCTTTCTTGCGAGGATGAGGTCCCTTGCAAACTTCTTTGTGAGTTCTTGAAAAGGTCAACCTCTTCCATTCTGATTGGTTCAGTACGCTGGCGCTTCACCTATCACTGACAGGACATCTTTACAGTTGTACACCATTTTGTATGAGATGGAGAGAACTCTGTCTAGGACCAGGTCCCTGCATTTGTGAGATACTGAAACATACAATCTCGTCCGCTCTTCTTATTGGTGTAGGACATTGCACTTTTCACCTACCACCTGACATGACAGCTTTTACGACTGCACCCCATTTGTATCAGGATGAGAGAACTCTGCAGGGACCAGGTCCTGCATTTGTGAGGATCATCAAAACACCCAGAATATAATAGTTACATCTACATAATTTAAACCTACTGCATGCCTAATAGACACTAGAATTCTTCAAGATCATATTTGCTACAAAAAAGTCCACACTTATTTCCGCTATTATAAACTTGTTGCATCCAATTCATGGTGTCACAAAAATTTATCTCATTGATCAGCCAGCAATCTGGTTATAGACAAAGCCAACTACTCATCTCTTTCTTATACACATTGCGGTTGCAAAAGATCTTCAGTGATCTCTTTGTAAAGAAAAAAAAATTAAAGAACAGTTGAGATTCTACAAAACGTGAATCCTTATGTCAATATGGCTACCCAAATTTAAAGAGAGTCAAGTATCTGATTTACAAGAAAGGTTACTAGCAATTACATTTTTTAAGCCAGTATGACATTATATGCTTAGAGGACGTTCTGAGAAAGATCTACAGTGTTGGTCCAGGACGATACAATGATTCTCGCAGTTCAGGAATCGTGAAGATCACATCAATGAGTTTATTTCTAAGATGAATTAGCATAGATAGCCAGGTTACCTGATCAATTTATTCTTGTGTTATCAGTTTTAGTATGAATTATTGTAAGATGGAACACTTAAAATATTAGGTGCTATTCCTTTTGCTCCATCGGTTCATGTAACTCATAAGTTTACTAATTGGTTTTTGTTTACTTATACTTAAAAAAGTTTATTCTAATTTGTAATACATTTCTATTGATCTATTTTTATTATGTAACTAGACATGTAAATGAAAATGCAACAAATAAAATATTTATCACATGGTCGTTTTTTCTTCATAATATTTGTTGGTTTCTTTTCCTACAATATTTTATGTATTTTACTTTTTATCCATGACATATTGCTAGAACAAGATAGTGTCTGTGAGTGTGAGGTATATGGTTTTCAGGAATTGTTTCCTATACTTATGTTTTGCAATTTTTTATTAGACACTCTTGTTTAACATATGATAAGGCATGACTACTCATCTTTTTTTTTCATGAACATAGGGAGTAAAAATTATTATCTTCTTTTGCAGTTTTTATTTCTTGGCTTTTTCCTTTTTATACATTTGAGGATAACAACATCAGATTGATATGCTTCATTTTTTAATACATCTCAATTTTATTTTATTTTTCTATAATTTCTTGCAACTTATGACACACATATTCTAGTTTTATTCATTTCATTTGAAATCAAGTTTACCAATTAATACGGGATACACGTGCAACGCACGTGTCCAGATACTAATTAAAAAAAGCATGTACCTGTGAAATCACTTTACGATTCTCTCTTCTTCCATTACATAATTTGTTTCTCTTTCATCACGATGTAAAATTTTAAAAATTCATCGTCTGATACATCACAATTATCATTTAACAACAAATTATCAGTTTAGTTTCATTTCCCAATAATTCCAACACAATCCAGAAAATCATGGGGGTTCTTAAGACTGGTCAACGGACCGGAACGAACTGGTACCAGAACGGAACGGAACCTGTTGACCGGTATGTTGACCGGTACCGGGATGAACCGGACCGGAATTACCGGGATGAATAATCGATTCCGTCCCGTTTCACTATATACCGAGATGGAACTGGAACGGACCGGGATGGAACGAAACGGGATAAACGGGACGATATTTTTTGGGATTACGAAATCTAATTATTTTTTTTAAGTATAAATTAACAGTTTTAAATTTATACTATAATTTTTTACTTAAGTTTATTTTAAAGATATTTTATTAATTTTTTTTGTTGTTAAGTTTGCAAGTAAAGTCTAATAAAGTTTTCAAAATTTAAATCATTTGAAGTTTATACTTTATAAGTTATCACTTATATTCATTAATATTTATTTTATAAGTTATATTTATAACTTGTGTCTTGTAAATATTAAATAAATAAAATTTGTAATTTTAAAAAAATTAAATTGAAATAAGGATAAAACAATTATAAAAAATAAAAAATATCAATTTAATTTATTTAAATTTGTCACAAATTACAATTTCAATTTACAACTATTAGTAGAGTATATAGAAATTATATAAACTATAAACTATAAAATATAAATATAAATTATATAAAATATGAAAAAAAAATTAATATATATTAAGTAAACCGGATCGAAATCGGACCGGACCGGAACCGGGATGAACGGGTAACGGTACACTGGTACAAAATCACGATTCCGTCCCGTTCCGTGTACCGGTTCAGACTATCCCGTTCCATCCCGTAGGCAATCGAAACGGAACGGTACCGGTACGTCCCGTTCCGTTGACCAGTCTTAAGGGTTCTTATAATTTCTTTTCTTTTCATCTTAGAGTAGATTGTATTATCGGTTCATCAAATGTACTATAAATTACTATTCTTCTAATGTCAAATGATGAAAAAAGTATATTTTAATATCTTAGTTGGTTAAGGTTTATATACTTTAAATTTCAAGAAGTGAAAATCATCATATAGTTAGGGATGGGGGAGTAGTTTAATACTACATAAGTAGTGAAATAAGAAGAAATATATGTTCATCATCAACAAGATACAACATATTAAATAATAACTTGCATTATGAAAATATGTTATCACAAGATAGTGTATTATATTGTATAAGAAAAATTTTACATGACCAATCATACGTATGAACTCAATGACATTTTATTCATACGATTTTTGTTGCAAGATTTAGAGTAGCAAGACTATTATTATTATACATCTTGCCACTATGGTCAACGATTTTGTAATATTACATGATGATTGGTTGTGAGGCAATTGGTTAGTTACTTATTCGTGGCCTCCACCTGGAGGGTTGTATCCACTACTTGGAGGATTGTATCCATCACTTGGGGCTTTATATTTGTCACATGGGGAGTTATATTTATCACCTGGATATTTATATTCATCACTAAGGGGTTTATATTTGTCATGTTGGGGTTATATTCACCACTTGAAGGGTTATATTTGCCAAATGGGGGTTTATACTTGTCATGTGGGGGATTGTGTTCATCACTTGGAGGGTTGTATCCGTCATATGGGGGCTTATATCCGCCACTTGGAGGTTTATATCCGTTGTTATATTCATCATATGGAGGTTTATATTCACCACCAGGAGATTTATATCCATCACCATGTCGTTTATATTCATTGTTATATTCACCATGTGGGGGCTTATATTTATCATGTGAGGACTTGTATTCACCTCCGGAAGGATTATATCCGTCAGGTGGAGTGTTATATCCCCACCCTGGATATTTATATCCTTTGTTGTATTCACCATGTGGAGGTTTATACGTGTTGTTATAATCATCATATGGGGATTTATATCCACCATGCGGAGGATAATATCTACCACCAGGAAATTTATATCCATTTTTATATTCACCACGTTCATCACCTAGATATCCGTCAATGTCATTATATTCATCATTGTGTACATAGTCATTCTTGTTATCCGGTTTCATTGCTACAAATATCAAATGTGACATTTAAAAATTAGATAAGAAATCCAATATTTCAAAGAAATAATTAGCAAAAGGAAAAAATAATCTTACAAGTCTCAGCCAATTCTCTAGCAATAACCTCAGAGCTTATCATTGAAAAAATTGCCAAAAAAATGCCAAGAAATAAAAATGCCTTGGAACCGATCATTTTTTTTACTTTAAAGCTTAGTTATTTTAATTTAAGGATGAAGAAATTGATGCAACATGGGGTTATATTTATAATATAAGAACTGAATCTAATAGACATTGATAAATGGTCACTTCACTTATCTTGACCAACTGCCACGCCACATAATTAATTATATTTTCTCAGCTTTAATTTTTCTTTTTCTTTTTTTAGTTGACGTAGTATAGGTCAATTTATCTACCTTAATGATGTACACTAAATAAAATATTTTTAATAGTTTTGAAAAATAAGCATATATTATTTAACTATAATTAAATAATAATTTGTATTTATTTTTCATTGTTTGACTTGATACACTCATTAAGAAAATAATTATTGATATATATACTTTACTTAACTATCTCTATTCATGAATAATGTTTAATATTAGATCTTCAAAAATGATATGCAGTATTTAATGTCCAGGGTGTGGTCGTGTGGATAAAATAATTATTTTTCTTAATAGATCAAAAGTGACAAGTAAAAGCGAACGGAGGAGTAATGAATATTTGATGCCTAAATATTTTGATACACATATTTTATCTTGTGATGGGAGTGTGTTTTGTTAAATGTAAGTTTTCTAAACTAAAATCTCTAACAGTAATTTAGGACTGAAAATTATTATTAAATTTATCATAATGTAAATTTGTACACATTTTTTACGTAAATTTGTTTTTCTCAAGTTCTTTTTTTTGGGGAAAAATTTGAATAAACGCAAACTACTACTCTAATACTAATAAAAGAACTTAAATCTTTACTTATACACAAACTGCTATAACTATAAAGAATTCAAAAACACGTTTTAAAATACACACATTTTAGAAGTTTCCCCAAATCAATTTTAATTGCTAAGAAAATCTTTATTGCGTAAGTTTTCTACTTCATACATATGAAGTATTGCTATCATTTTTGATGGTCGATGATCGATAAGTATCTTATATTCGTAATTATACGTTTTAAATTTAAAATATTTGAAATAAGATTACTTCTGATAGATCACACTTGAACCTTAAAATTGAACATTCATGTTAGAGGCAAAAGTAGAGTTGGGACATCGAATTTATCTTGAGTCTAATATTTTTTATGTGAAGCAAACTTTATAAATAAGAATTTATTAAAATTGCAACAAATGATATACCAAAATTCATAACTTTAAAAATACAATTAGGTCAAATTTAAATGTTGAAGATCCTTGATCGATCAACTCATAAAGTTTAAATCTCAAATTTGTCTCTATTTGTTGTCTTAATTTGAATCAATTCATATTAATGGTTAAATCATTTATGTAAATGTGTTCATAGAACACATCAAAATAACCAAAGTCGCTTACGTACAAGGACTTGCAAATTAACCAATCTAAAAACATAGATTTGATGGTAATTACCAAACAACATTAACGGCTCATTTGGATATGAGATATAAAATCATAATTATGATTAAATTGATTTGAAATTGAAATTTTAATCGGACATATAGTTTGAATTTCTCAAATTGTTCTTCTTTTATACAACTCAGCAAAAGAAAATGTACCCAAATTGATTTATTGTATTCTGTAATTAAAAATTGTATCTTGTATATAAAATAATAGATTCATGTATTATAAATTAGCATCTTAAATACATGATTTATGTGAGTTATTTCGACAGGAAAACATAAAGAGTTCACAGCAAAAATAATATATCAACTTATCTTCAGGAGAAATGAAGAGATAATGGCGCTACTAAACTAAATGTAAAGCAAGATTTGGTTTCCAAGTTACAAGCAAAGCAACCAACGAATCCATTAAATTAATATGCTCACTCATCATTAAATGTTTTCCCATGCTGTAGAGAGCTCCTCTCATTAACCACACTTGACTACTTTGATAAAACCCAAAAACACTTGAAAAGAAATAAATCCCAGAAAGAGACTTGTACAGTTAAAACACAAGCTTTCTGACCATAGAAAAACCCCAGCAAAGGATTATCAGATTCTAGTCTCCAGTGCTAATATTATCTTCTTCCTTGGACCCTGAAACAACCAAAATGTAAAAAACCTTTCAATCAGCACGTAATAGAAAAGACCACTGCCCGTGCCATTTCACTAGTACAGATTCACACCTCTGTGCCCATCACCCAACCCAATTGGAAAAAAAAGAATTATTGAGTTTAAGAAATAAAAGGACTTTTGATATGTGTGTGTATGTGTGTGTGTGTGTGTGAAGTACCACAAATATCATTTTAAATGAATAATGGTGAGAGGAGTTCAACATGATTTTATTTTCTCTCTTTACAAGACAATGAACTTTTCCATCAAGTGAATCGCAACAAGACATGCCATTAAGGTAAAATGGGGATGCTATGAATAAATAGTTTCCAAAATGAGAAATATGTCAATTGTCATCTTTCTAGAGAAGCCTAAAAGGTTACAGAGGTTTTTCACTGAAAGTCCTCACGTGGTCAGGGTTGACTCTGAAATGCAAATCCAAAGATGTGCTACTCAAGAATCCTTTGGCCTAACCCTTGAAAATCCTAATCTCTCGAATCAGCATGATTATCAAGACAGTCAAACTTAATAGCTTCCAAGAAGCACTTAATTGGAAAATCTCTTATCAAAAACAATTGCTACTTAAACCTTCTCCATTAAGATTTTTCATCCCATTCATAACCAAAAAATTAACAAGAAAATGAAAAACAGGAGGTCACAATCTTCAAATGAATCCTCATACAAAATTATGATACTTACCATTGGTATTCCTATAGCTTTTAGATCTTCATCTGTCATGTGCACAAGAGCAGCCATATCAACCTACAAGAAAAGAACAGGGACAAGGTGAAATTCTGCAGGACTTCAAACTAAATTAAAAAGGAAAGAGCAGCAGTGATTTACATACTTCTTCAGCTTGAAATGTAATTGCATACTTCTCAAGACCCAATGACTGTAGAAAATTATCCACTGATTCCGCCTGCACCAAATGCATAAACCTTTATATATAAGAGCAGTCCACACTGTATGCTGGAATAGCAAATGAACATGCTTGAGTAGTTTTCACCCATTTTTGTTTATTCTGTGATTAGCTGATAACATTAGCGTAAAGAACCAGAGTCCTAAGACACGTAGAATGAACAGCGACAGCCACAAGTCAACCACCGATTACACAGTAGTAAGAAATGCAGAGTAGGTCTAATTGCACATAAAAAAATTAAAGAAGCTATAGAAATATGAGATTTGCAGATCGAATGCAATATGCTCACCACACACGATGTCACTAAACAGCAATAAGGTAGCAATAAAAATGCTGCAGAACATGTGAAAGTGTGTTGAAAGACGTTGAATGGTAAGACTGGAAAGAAATCATAGAATCTACATGATGTCTTATAGATAACAATATAAGTGTTAGTTTAATTCCTGTTTCTATTGTAAACCAGCACAGACGAAAGTGGTGTTGCCGAATGCAAGCATGATTTGACTAGACCATGAAATTCACAAAATGAGTTGGGGATAAAGTTTGGACATAAGTTCACAGCTGTGGTGCATGCCACAATGTTGTAAAAGCAGGACTCAATTACAGAGACGTAAACTCAAGGTAAGTGCAATGTACATCAAGCACTTAGGTTGAGAAAACACTTAATAGTCGCGAGTTGTGCACCAAGATGCCCACCTTGATGAGGGTAACATGGAATAATGAATATTACTGACAAACAGGCGAAGCACCAAAGGTCATGGCCTCGGGACAATGGCACTACAGTGGATGAAACCCAAGGGAGACAGCTTTTAGTGATTTCTTCCCATATGCCAAAGCCTTGGCGGGGAGACTTACTCGATATCAGCACCAGGGGAAGGTAGCAGGTATCTAGCAGAATAGTATAGGCACTTGAAACTGGCCAGGACACCACTGTTCTGAATGAAATTGAATCTACTTGATAAAATGATATATTAGTGATTGTGAATAGTGAATTTAAAATGTAGCAAGACAAAATTTATCCATTAAAACAGAATCAGAGATTTTTGAAAATTCTGGACTAGATTGACATGATTTTTATTTCAAATATTTCTTCTCATTGCCGGCTTTTCAATGTATAATTGTTGTTCGTAATCAAGGATAACCTTGGACATGTATAGAGGAACATGATGTGTTGCTTCCTTTATGTGCAAACTCCATGAGATACAAAAAGTACTAGGTCGTCAGTCCATATTACTCTTTCCTAACTATGATAAGCTTTTATTTTTTCTTTTAATTTTCTGAAAGAAAATTTCAGTAAGTTTTGCTCCAAACAAAAAAAACACTACATCAATCCCTAGGAAATAGACCACATTAAATTTCAGCTTGAGGAAGCCACCTGCATAAAACCACCTTGTCAAGGAAATAGGGGGGAAATGTGGAGGGATAGAAACGAAAGAAGATACTCTTCTAAAAAATCATCTGAAATAGGCCAGAACTAAGGTAAAAGGTTCTCTAGAGAAGAATCCGAGTAGTGTCGAGATCGAGCAGAGCTTTGAAATGCAGATATGGTGTGAAAGCCCTCCGGTGATGAAAGTCACCGGGACAAATGAAGGCAATTTCAACAAGAACCCTAATCGCTATTTTGGAGAGGTGTCACAGTGTTTTGGAGATAGTAAGAGACTAACACCCTATTCTGATGAAAGGTGTGTGTCGAATTCAGTTTTTGTAGAAGATAAAGAGTTAAATTCAGGGGCGAATCTAGGATTTCTATATCATGGGTGCACCACTGAAAGAAAAAAATTTATTAAGTGGGAACTGATACCTAGCCCTCAAAACCTTTTATGCTTTTTGACAATTCAGAGGCGAATCTAGAATTTCTTGAGCATGGGTGCACCACTAAAAAAAGGAAACAATGTATTAAGTGGGCAATGATTTAAACCTTCTTAAACTCCAAAAAGTCGACTCGGGCTTCAGTCGAAGAACCTTTCCTGCACCAAGTGATAAATGATTGATTACAAATAGTTAGGACTTTTTTCTACGATGTCCCTAGTCCTCATGGTGAATAACTCAACATCCAACTAAGTGTACCTTTTGGCTTTCTCAGACTCCTTGTAGAGTTCCTGATAGAAGCTCACTATGGAATTTTTATTTCTTCAAGATCAGTAACTTCAACCCTCGACTTTGAGGCTGTCAATGGAGTTGAATCTTCTGTGAGCATTGGCCATTCCGTGGAAGTACCAGGTGTTTTTGTCACCATTTTTTGACCCGTTGTACCCTGGATCTCTACCTCCAGAAATTTCCTCATTTCTGGACACCTCTTCAAACTCCATAGCCAGCTGAATTTTCTCCAACCGTTCATCATCTGTACAAAAGTTTGAGATCCTGAATGGATTCCAGATTTCCACTTGTGACAGAATCTGATTTTTACTTTCCTTCCAGTTGTTCTTGTTAGCTTTGCTCCATTCTTTGATCTTGACTTTCAATTGACTGAGCTTAGCCAATTGAAAATCAATTCAGCCAGTGGAATTGAAGCCGCTCCACCATTCTCTCACTTTGTCTATGAATCCTTCCTCCTGAGGAAGAGAACAAGAATCTTTCTATTCTTGTGGCACAACTGTGATTTTGACCTCTTCTCCATGTATAACCTCCGGAAAGAGGTGGATCCAGTAACTCAAGATCATTTATGCATTGGTTGAAATCAGCCATGGCTCTGGTTATTCTGTTATAGTTTGTCCTTTCAGAGGGAAATCTGGATACATTTAAGTCCCCAAAAATCACCCAGGGCCCTTCACATATTCCTCTAATAGCTGAGATCTCCCACCACAACTCTTCTCTTTCTTTTCTGTCACACTCTGAATATACAACAGGAAGACACCAAGTCAAGTCTTGGCTGATCCCAAATAGTTTATAAGGGAGCATCTAAATGCCACTGTCGATGAGCTCCCCTTTCCATTCCCTCTTGTCCCATAATACAATGATTCCACCACTTCTACCAATGGAGTCCACCCATACCCCTCCAACCCATCTGTTCCCCAAAGTTGTCCCCATAATTTAGTTTCTATGAATTCATAGATGTATTGCTCCCCCTGAACCAAGGATTTTTTTTTGTCTCCTTTTATCCTCATTGTTCAACCCCCTTACATTCCATGTTAAGATTTTTACCTTCATGATCAATTTGTGTTGTCGAAAGGGGTTGGTACACTGTTATTCTTTGAAACTTTTGGGAGGATGCACTGGCCTCATTCTTGAAGATGAAAGTTTTCTTTTTTTTTTTGGTCAGCAAGGGACCACTGATGATCCATTACAAAGAAAGATGAAGGGTTATCTTATTTTGTTTGTGGGTGGAATGGGTTTAAAATAAAATTAAAAAAAAAGATGGGCTTTTTTTTTAATTTTGGATAAAAATTTTAATATAAAATAGGGAAAATTATTGAGATTGAGCCATGTGTCCATCCGTTAGCTTTAAGGGTATACACAACCCAAAAGATTGATGGTAAGGGTGTATACAATCTTGAAGTATAACGGAGGCTATTGACATACTATTTGTGATAGTATATTTGTCCTGCTTCCGTTTTCTAATTGATGTGGTTGACAATTTCCAGTCATTGGCAGCACTTTTGGGATGTGAGCTGGGACCCTACCAACGGTATATTTGGGTCTCTCTTTAGGTTTCCAAAACAAGGTCATTGAAATATGGAATAAAGTGATTCAAAGATGTGAGAAGAGATTGGCTAGCTGGACAAGTCAGTATTTATCTTTCGTGGTATAGTTATTTTGGTTAATAGTATGTTCGATGCTTTACCAACTTATGTGATGTCTTTGTTCCCCTTACCAGGCAAGGGTTAGAATTGATGCTTTAAAGAGAAATTTCATTTGGCAAACAAAACAAGGACGAACAAGTTATGCACCTGATCTAGTGGAAGTCTCTAATCTAATCACTACCAAATAAAAAGGAGGCCTGGGAATTAGGGATTTAAATGCTCAAAATACTAGTCTTTTGATGAAATAGTTGTGCAGGTATAATATGAAAGAGAATAGCTTATCGAGAAGGGTAATTTGCGACAAGTATGGTCAGGAAAGGTTGTGGTTCACACTTCATGTTAACAACCCTTATGGTCTATAGGGGTGTGCAGATCCATTAGACAACACTGGAATTTGTTTTTAGAGAACTCTAACATCTTTTTTTTTTTTGATGAAGCAGAGAACTCTAGCATCTAGGTTGATAATGGTAGAAAGACCTTGTTCTACATTCAGTCAACTGATTAAGGCATGCGTATTTGCAAGATTGTTTTCCTGATTTGTTCAGTATCTCAATCAACCCATATGCTTTTATTTACCCATAATTAAGGAGCAGTGTTATCAAAGGTGCGGTTAAACCCTGGTACAAGGTTCAAAATGTGTTGAGTGCTTCCCCCTTGCTCAATGTGCACTTCAGTGTCATCATCAAGGTTCTAAGACATACTTTTCCTTGCCAATGAACTCTACTGAAGAGATAACACTAAGCAGTTGTTATTTCACTTTATACTAATTATTTCTCAATTTCTTTGTTCTTATATTTGTCATTCATGCTTATAAATTATCAGTCTTGGAGTAAATATATATTTGTATTTTATTCTCTCTTTGCGCCTTTTTACATTAAATCACATGCTTTACTTGCGCAAAGCTTTGCACTTAAAGCCTCGACGTACCTTAGAGCTCTTTTGCGCTTTTTGCTTTTGACAACACTGTTTAGGAGATGCCAGGGTGGAACATTACCTTCTAGAGGGCTCTAAATGATTGGGAAATTGAAGGAACATTGGAGTTCTTAGAGACTCTGGAGGATTTTCAGGGGGTTAACAGATGCAGAGGTGCAGTGAAATCATTATAGAGATGGGAATTTCCCAGTCAAGTCTGCCAATCTGATAATTGGTAACTGTGTCCAACAGATTGATGGCTATCCATGGAAGCCAATTTGAAAAAAATTGCCCCTTCATAGTTTTTTTTTGTCTCACTTGGTTGGTGGCGAGACAGGCAGTTTTGACTCAAGAAAGGCTGAGAAGAATGAGGTTCCAACTATGCTCCAGATGTTAGTTTTGCAAGACAACCACAGAAACTAATAGCCATTTTTTTTGGACACTGAAACTAATAGCCATTTGTATCTTCATTTCTCTTTTACTATCCAACTATGGAAACTATTACTCAATGTTGTGGGAATCAACGGTGTGTGCCTAAAAATACTGTTGATCTTCTTAAAAGCTGGAACATTTGCTTTTGGGGGAAATAGTTAGGCATCATTTGCTTGCATTTAGTGGAGGCCTGAATTAGGCCATTAAGTGCATTTGTTTTCATTAAGATTGAAGCACTTAATTGGTCTGAATAGGTCTTAATCACTACGATCTTGAACTAAGTCTTAATATCATTAAGAGGTATTTGTGTGCAATATAATATTCACCACCACTCCATCCATAATCACCTGACATCACCACTAACCACCTTTGTCATCACAATCTACCACCTTCGTATTATACTATATCCATTGTCGCCATCTCCACCACCACTATCAACCACCAATACCTACTACCAGCCAACTCCACCATCACAACTAGCGCTACCGCGAACTAGCACCAACACTTTGTTAACCATCACACACATTCTTCAGCGCCACCACCATCAGCCCACTACCACCATTGTGGTCAATCCTTATTGTAACCATCTCAACCACAACTAGAACCACCGCCAACTACCACCACATTCTTCAGTCACCACCCAACTACTAACATAAATTAACTTCACCAACACCAGTACTACCAATCACCACCATCATAATAGTCACTCCAATATCAACCACTTGTACCATCATAGCTTTCAGCACCACCATTACTAGCCACTACCACCACCACTACAAATCTTATTCACCATCACTAGAGAACATAAAAGTTGCGTTTTTTAATCAAATAATGATTTTATTTTATTAAATTAATATTTTTTCTAATATTAAATTAAATTTTTATTTGAATTGTATATTTATAGGGCGTACTATAAAACCCTATTGCCATGACATTGTTCCAAGCAGGAAACTGACCCACTGAACAATAACAAGACCAGCAACAAAATGTAAGGAGTTAATAACAAAAGAACTGGAAATAAAGGAAGATGGTATCATGTAATTCATACCACATGTTACTTTTGTCTAGAGACTCTATTACCCTTCTGTGTGGGAAAATTCTGAGAGTATATCGCCTTTTCTTACTGGGGATCAGGCTGTGTCTGCTCACATTTTATTGGCAATATCACCATTTGATAAAGAAGTAACGCTATTAACAAGGAACTTATTGGTGAAACTAATCTGAGTAAGGAGATCTTGCCTTTTGCTGGGACTTCTTCTTTGAAACTGTGCTGGCAATTTTTTTTGTCTCCATGGCAGGAGCTTCAGCTGTGCTACTTCTCCTGACATGTTTGCTTATTTCAGGAGCCACCTTCAGCTTTGCTTTGGGGGGATCAGTTTCCACTTTTTGTGAGTATACAGTACCAGAAAGCTTTTCACGCAGATCCCGGACACCTCCAGAGACAGAACCTTTAACACTTTGAGTAGCTTGTTGGACACTTTTCTTTTGTAGTTTCAGACGAAGATCCTTAGCACCGATTCTCTGGCCTGTGAATGCCCATAAAAGATGTCAAAAATTTTAGTGGAGCAATCACAAGTATATTGCCTAATGAATAAGTAATATCTAACTGAACCTAATGGTATCAAACAACACCGTACTTGATCCTGGAAGCTCATGACGCTCGTAAAGATCATGCTCCCATTTGTCATCTTCTTCTCTGTGCCTACAAAATAGATTACAGAAATTGAACCAGAAAGTTAATAGGACTCCACCATGGAAGGCTTAAAAGCTACAAAAAAAAAAGGCAAGCATGATTTGATATACTTTATCATCACTATTACCTTACAAATAATCTAGTTGTGTGGCCTCTTCACTTTCAATGCCGCACCCATGTCGACACGACATGGGTGTGGGTGTGAGTGTGGGATCCATACCAGATATGGTCAACCGATTCATCGGTACTTTGACCAAAATCAATAGAGAACTTCGAAGACAAATACACTGATTTCTAATAATATTCAGTAAAGAAATGCATTTGTACTTGATAATAATTACATATTGGAACTTGCTCTCGAAAATCCCTGCATACCTTTCCTTCCAAATAGTCCACAATAGTTAAGGCATATTTTTACAACTCTATTTTTACATTTGAATTATTTTTAGCCAAATCCCCGCACCCGTATCCATGCCTAGACCCGTACACCTAAATCTTAAAATTTAGATCAGAAGGATCCAACCTCTAGATCCGCACCCGTATCAGAAACCAAAACCCAAGTCCAAGCAACTTAGCAAATAACAGTTTTTTAGCTATCTTGTTCATTTCCCATTTATAGAATGCATTTCCCAAGAAATGTGAGAGGCTTTGAAGGGAAGAAAGTTATTATACAGCAGCATAAATACAAATTGTTCATGGCTTTTGGTGTAATCTACAGGTTGTAATGGATGAAGATAGTATTGTTAGAGTTCATGGAATCTTTACAAGAATAGGGCTTTACAAGATAGTATTGTTAGAGTTCATAGAATCTTTACAAAAAAAAATAATGCATCTCCCGGAACTAAACATTAGATCAACTCAAACTTAATGTTTTTGAACGTCAGGCAGACAGTCCAATCTTCGAGGATCCAGAGCTCCAAAAGGAATTTATTCAGTTAGACTTCTAATAGGCCATACAGAAGCAACAAGGAGGAAGGCCAAGTAAGCAACGATGACACTTCCGGGAAGAAAATTGACAATTACACAAACGCTCTCAATGACACTGTTTAACAGGTATTCACAGTTTTCACAAATATTCAAATTCCTAAACCACATTTAATTGAAAGAATTGTGCCCAAAAGAATTAGAATCCTATCAAAAGTTTGCCAATAAAACTTAGACTGCTACTCCCTGTCCCGTTAAATGTGCACACCTTCTTTCTTAGTCTGGCCTAAAAAGAATGAGGACATATCAGAGGGAGAGTAGGGTATGACACCCTTGTTGACAGCTTTCCATATTTAGAAAAAAATCAATTTTAAACTTCTTGCAGATAATGTATAGATAGCAATATAAATATTTTCTAGCTTGTTTTAAAGCACAAAGCTCAAGTCTCACCCATGCCTAGTCAAGAACAATAAAAAGACATGGAAGGGAGTAAATACTATCTAATAAAAATAAGAAAAACTAACTTTAGGGAGCTATTACAATTTACACACGTCTCACGTGGTAACAACAAAAACCGTGACAGAAAATCTCTACAGCAAGCAGAAGGAGAATATTGTTCTTCTGAATACCAATCCTGTACTGGATTGAAGAAAAAACCCTACTTAAAGTAATAAATAACACATCTGACCAAATACATATACACAAACAGAAAGACATGAAAAAAGCTAGAAGTTACAAAAATCAGAAGTAATAATAAATGTAAGCGGAAAAGGAGAGAAAAAGGGGAAAACCTCTTGCCGGTAACTTGTCTACGACGAGCGAAATCATCAGCAGTGTTGCCGTTAAGCCTATCCCTTATCGACCTCTTTGTCACTGCCTCCACCCGATCGGCGTACATCGTGTTCTCCGAATGGCCCCGCACTCGATTCTTAGCACGGAACCCTAACCTTAACCCTAATTGAACTTTCACCTTTTACAGACACGAATTGGAGGAAATTGAGAAGTGGAAATAGAGAGGAGACAGGGATTTTGGGGGAACTAATTCACGAGAGGTTTTTCGGCAGATATTATTCTGCTCAGCTTATAATAATAATAATAAAAATCAAAAGAACCGCGATTCAGCCTACTCTCTCGATGATATGGGTTAAAGATTCGGGTTAATGGGCGATGAATGGGTTTGGACAAAAAAATTAAATGGGGAAAATTATGACATATATCAGTTAATTAGCTACTATAGATATATTGTTTACATTAGTTAAAAATTTGAAATTTAAGCTAGCTACAATTGCATTTTCTCTATGTGAAAATATCTAAAGCGATTTCTTTTGAAGATCAAATATCATAGTTTCTAGAATAATTTAATCTAGTCATTTAAATAAGTATCTTGTAAAAATATTTATATATTTCAGAGTAGAAGATTATGTTAATAGATTTTTCTTTTATATATTTTAAAGGAATTAAATATATGTAGTGAACCATAAAATAATCTAGTAGATGTTTTAAAGGAAGTAGATATTTGTAGTAAATCATGGAATAGTCTATATTTTATAGTATCCAGAACCATCCGTAAGTAAGTATAAATGGGGGATGGTAATTGGTATTAGGGTGTACATGATCGGATTGGTTCGGATTTTTCAAATATCAAATCAAATCATTTATGTAAAAAAATTTAAATGTATAAACCAAACCAAACTAGTAAAATTTAGATTTTTTTGAGTTTTTCAACCTCGGGTTGGCTCGGGATTTTCAAATACCAAACCAAACCATTGTGTCGAATTTTAAAATGGGAAATCTTCACTGATAGACACTTAAAAACAATTAATTACTCTCTTTAGCTATATTTTGATAATTACAATCTATAGCTATATGTTATATGGACGAGAGAGGCGAGCGAGATTGAGAGAGAGAGGAGAGAGAGAGGGGGGGGAAAGAGTGGGAGATTGGGAGAGGGAGGAGAGAGGCGAGAGAGATTGGAGAGGGAGAAAAGAGGCGAGCGAGATCGAGAGAGGGAGGAGAGAGGCAAGCGAGAGAGGGAAGAGGGTGGGAGAGAGGTGAATTGTATATGTATATAATTGTATATTATACATATACATTTGTATATAGGGCAAGCGAGATTGGGAGAGGGAGGAGAGAGGCGAGCGAGAGAGGGCACAGAGTGGGAGAGAGGTGAATTGTATATGTATATAGGTTAAATAATTGTATATTATACATATGTATTTGTATATTTTGGTGAATTATATATATACAAACATGACTAATTATACGAATTCGAAATCAGCCCACGTAATTAATGAATAATATTAGTTGCGAGTGATAATTATAGCAAACTATAGCTATGATGAGTAATTAAATAGTATAAGTTTGTTTTGTTGTGTAATTTTCCCTTATTAAATTCATTTTTTAATAGATGTGTGTGTATATATATACATATATGACATACTTTACTTTTTTCTTCGAATTAATGGAAAGTTACTTATTACTAATTTGTTAAAAACAAATAAATAAATAAAATTGTCATTATTATTTTCTAAACTGAATTTAAAGACTATCTTTGGATAGGTTTTGAGTCGTCATTTGATTTTATTTAAAAGAATTGTCACTTAATTTTTTTAAAAAAATTAAGAAAACTAATTTTCAAAAGATTAAAACAGTAAATCAATTGAAAAAAGGATTTGGGTTCATATTTATATCTTGGGAAGAGTTTTGAAAGTCACCTAAAACATTCGCTAACTTGAATTATCAACTAATTAACTATTTGGCCAATTATTTCAAAGAAAATGCATGTATAATTAAATAGAGGTAATAAACACTTAAAGGCTTAGAAATCATTTTTAAAGGAAATGATGAATATTGAATATACTAAAGTAAAAATACTTTGCAAATGTTCTAAAGTCAAGTAGAACAAATATTTATTTAATTTTAAATAGCTAATTCAAAATAGTTATTTTTTGGGGAAATGAATTTCAAAACTTTAAAATTAATTTGACAAACAAAACACACAATAACAATTAAATAACCATCTCTCGAATAATCAAAATCCTTATATAAAGTCTCACTGATTTCACAAATCAATTTGAGTTTATGTTTATATATTTAAAAAATAATTTTCTTAATCTTTTCCTTAAAATTAGATGGCGATATAAATAATTTTCAAAATAAAAACTGTACCGATTTTATGTTGCGAACTATTCCAACTTAGTTAAAAAATGGGGTTGTGACATTTAAGTGTTTAGAAGCATAATCAATTTTTAATTTTTTTGCAACCAAACACCACCCAAATCGATCACTCCAACCACTGAAGCATCATAAATTCATAATACGCAATAAAACCCAAATCCTCTTTGGGATTAATTATTTATGATAAATTTGACAAAATTACCTACCAGGTTCCACAAATCTATTTCCTACTTAGTTAGGTGAATGATATCGTCGTAAATAAATATTTTTCTTCTTTAAAATTATGTCACACATATGTTCTACACAACGAATCAAATATTCAACGAGAAATAATTTTAAAATAATCAACCTCAATATAATTAAGTATGTGTAACTAAATGACAATTATGTTCAACACAATGAATCAAATATTCAACGAGAAATAATTTTAAAATAACCAACCTCAATATAATTAATTATGTGTAACTGAATGACAATTTTTTTGAAACATTGTATTAGAATAGACAAATAGCTCTGTTACGGTAAAAACATCGACTTTTTGTGGCTATTTGACAAATTAAGATAAATCCAAAATTAGAAAAAAAGAAAATCATGTTCATATATAATAAGAGAGTTGTAGGGTTTTCAAGAATGATTTAGGCTATTTTTTAGGATTGGCTGGGTTATAATTTTAAAATTTGTAAGAAACTCAATGGATAATACCTTAATGCCTGACAATTAAGTAAAAAAACTACTATTGAAGTGACGAATATGAAACAAGAATCTTGATAATATAATATGACAATGATTCAAATGGTAATTGCTAAAAGTAACAAGTTCTTGTTCAAAATATAATGAAGGGAACATATATGATATATGAGAAAACGAGTACGATGGACTTTGGGCTAAAAATTTAATGTCAATCGTCAATTAGTTAGTATTTAAATTATCATAACTCAACCCACCAGAACCGTGCGAACACCTACACTAACATCTAAGTAGGAGGACCCTCGATTCTCAATGATTTAAATTCATGTGGAAGATCAAAGAAAACTGAGATAAAAGGACTTTCAAAAAATTAAATAAAAAAAAAGTTTATACATTTTTTGAGTTAACACTTGTAAAGTATTTAACTCCACAACAACTTCTAAGTTACAAGGTATGACCAAAATAGCAAAGATATACCTCCCACCATACAGAAGGAAAAATAGAAGTTGTTGGAGATTTTTCTCGGCTTCGCCTATATAACATCACCGATCATGTATCGTGACTATGCCAAAAAAGCATAGCAAAAGTATCATTAGTACAAGTACACACACTTGTAGGCACGAGTCGATTTATCCGATACCCACCGCATAATATAAGAAATCAACTAGATTTAAACATGCAAGTAAACTATTCATTTTTCCACCTTAACCATTATTGGATACCTGACGTCATACTAGTACCCTTAGTTCTAATGTTCGTTTCTATCAACCTACTAACTAGGTAAACATTCTAACTTATAGAAAAGTCCACGAACACCATCACATTCATTATGACTAATCACTCATAAACTACCCATGACCCATAACACAGTATATTAATGTTATTTAACAGTTAATTACAAATCCTTTTCCCCTTAAGTATGAAACTACCTAGTTATTTACATCACAACACTACCCCACCCAATTGCAACTTTGGACCCTTGGTCCTCACTTGCCTCATCACCTGCTGATTTGGGCTCAACTCTTTCGAGTTCGTTCAACAACGAGATATACGATCAGTTTACTTAATCCCTACTACTTATCAATTTAGGAACAATCTATCATTTCACATTCTCAATAATTCACATATATCACAAGTCAATGTTACTCTCACGAGACCCATACTCGATAGTTAGTATGCCAGATCGTAAAATCTGATTCAATGTATGCACGTATGCTGATACGTGGCATCTGATCCAGTGTATGTATGTATGACTGCACATGGCATTCGATCCAATGCATGTTAGTATATATGTATGTGACACAAAATTTAAAAAGTTCAACTAATGAGACTAATTCTTTTAAGCTTCGATCGGTCACATTGGTGATCCACAAAACTGTGTCGTTTTTTTCGTAATATCAATTTTTTCAATTTAGAGTTTTTGCAAAAGCCGACTAAAGGATTTGAAAGGGTATGCAAAATGGGTGAAAATATTTTTTTTATATACTGGTGAAATTCTCTATTTATTTTTTTGGGTGTTCTTTCTTTGTGGTATTCATAACTGTAATCTTTAATTGAGGCTAATCACTCAATTTCAATCTTTATCTTTTAAGACTCTCCCTAGTTGTTCATATATAAATATAAAAATATTAATGTAATTTTAATTTTAAATTATTTGATTTTCACGAATGTTGTTTGATTGATCTGTCTTTTGGAGATTTTTTGGGAGGGAAGAAGTTTTTCTTTGCTGATTGAGAAAGAAATTAGGTGATAGAGAAATAGTGATAACCATGGTTAATGATATTTGATCAAAAAATTAATCTAATCCATCAAAAAATTAAATGAACACGTTTCAGTTATATGAAATAGCACTGTCAAAAATTGGAGAGATCATCATTGGGGAGAAGTCTCTCTTCTGATAAGGTGTATGATAACTTGAAAGATTTTAATGGAACATCAATTATCTCATTTAATACAAGGAAAACTAACATATAAAAGTTTTAAGATATCATCGAAAGAGGAGAATTTTAAGATATGAAAGAGAAAGGATAACACTCTTAAAATCACAAGAGAATAGAATTTTAATATGACATATCATTTCTGAAAGATGCATTTATCTATGAATGCAATAGCTTTTTGAGGCAACATGAATTGCTATAAGTGTAGCTGACAATAGAAAATGATTTTAAATTTATGATATTGTGCAACTATAAGAACTTGTAAGTGAGTCATTTTAAAAATTATTTTATTTAGATAAAATATCTCTATTAAATCAAGAAACGGACATAGATTCGGCTATTAGAAATTGGCGATATAGCCTTTCACTAAAGGCGCTCTTTACAACTAATCAACAACAAAATAAAAAACTTCATACAGAAAAATCACTAAATATATCATGTTATTTTAGTAAACAAAAACTTATTATTTTAAACAAAAAATAATTAAAAAAAATTCATTTTTCTCTAAAATACTAGAAAAGAGGTAATATCTTAAGGTACGCTCTATACGTTTCTTAAGAAGTATTAGTTTTGAAAAATGTACATCTCCTATCATATGCACAATAGTTTAGTTTTCATAATTTAAAGTTTGTCTTAATTTATTAAATAGCGTCAAAAACTGTTATTTTTCCATAGTGAAGCTTTTTGTCTATTCAAATACAAAGTTCCAAACAAAATATTTTTTGATTATTTAGTTATGCGAAATTCATTATATGGAGGTTTGTTATTTAAAAAATTATTCCTCCTGAATATTTTATTTGTTGTACTGAAAATATGTGTGGCATAATTTTTAAGAAAAAAATATTTGTTTACAAAAATATATTTATCTTATCTAGTAGGAAAAAGACTTGAGTGACCTCAAATTTTTGTGAGTTTTTATCCTAAATAATTAATCACGAAAATATTGTGACTTTTAGTTTATATTGTGATGTTTAAGGGGTTGGAGGGATCGATCTGGGTGGTGCTATGATGTAGAAGGGAAATATAATTGCTCATGCTTCTAGATAGTTAAAACTTAAAACCATGAAAATAAATATACTACTCATGCTTTGGAGTAGGTAGTTGTGGTTTTTGTGCTTTAGTTGTTACTTTTGTGTTTAAGTTGTGACGTCACTACTTGTTTAAGGTGTGTTGCGAGTTCTTCACTGATTATAGAAGTTGACTGCTCCTCTAAAAAAAAGAATAAAAGAGACTTGTTGAAAATGTGCTTAATTGTTGGCCAAGAAAAAAAGATTTGGGAGTTTTTGGATATTGCTTGGACTAAGTTAAGAGTGGCTAATTTGATTTTCTAATAGCTTTGTTAGAGGGATTTGAACTTGGCAACATAGATAGCTTGAGTTTTGAAGGACTACGACATTACCATTCTATGTTATCCTGAAAAGGTTAATGTTATATCAAATGTCTTGAATAGGGAACCTTTACAAAATAATACATCTTGTTAATATATATACATACATACATACATACATACATACATACATACATACATACATACATACACACACACACACACATATATATATATATATAAAGTAATTAATCAAGATCTTAATGATCAAAACCTATTTAGACCAAATAAGTATTTAAAGTAAGCAATTATTAATGATCTAAATTCAAACCTCCATTAAGTGCAAATAAATGAAGTCTTAATTGGTTTAAGCATGTGAATTCAAAATAACAATTATTCTTAAAAACATGTTGATTCATATGACTCATCAATCAAAATGATTAAAACATACCTCTGTGATAGAATCTTTTTCTCATAAAAGTATGTGTCACTAAATTCTTTACTTGAAAATATGTTTTTTTTTTCTGGTTTACAATTTAGAAATTTTAAGACCATCATTTATTAGAATGACAATAATGTAGGACGGGAATGGAGCAAATTTAGGCTTATGTGAAATGGGGTGAGGGACATGATTGCCGGTGTATGGCGGGAGTGAGTTGAAATGAATTGTTCTTTTTGTTAAGATCTATCTCTAAATTACTGTATAATTGAAATTTTTAATTGTATTTCATATATAGAATTGATAAATAAAATATTCCAAAAAAAAAAAGCTTTACTTCAAATGTTGAAGTCAAATAACAAAGAAAATAATAATAAAGAAATTTATGTGAAGCGAGTTAGTGCAGGGAGGGGTGGGAGTGTCGAAAATTGTACATTAGTTCATGTGGGACGTGGCAGATTAAAGTCCTTGCGGATTAATGCAGATTCACCCTGCAACCGCCTCCGCCTCGCTTTATTGTCATTCCTAATCATTTATCACCCAGCCAATCAAGCGTAGTTTGAGAAAAAATCTATTAATTATATCTTCTAATAGTATTAGTCTTTAGATTGTACCAAAAAGGGTTAAAATGACCCTTGAAATGGAACACATGTTCACTCCGCTTGTTTTTGGTATAAAAAAATACCCCTCATATCTAACTAAAGGACCACAAATATCTTCCTTTTAACGGATTACTACTAGATACTACTTGGCATTTGACTTATTAAAAAAATTGCCTACATAGTTGTCCCCCTAGGTAGCAGATGTGGATAAAACACTCTCTCTTTACATTGATGTTTTCTTCTCTATTTAGAACCCCAATTTCAAATTCTTCTCCAATTTCTTAAAAAAGTTTCTCCCATTACAATTATTTATTGTAAAAGAAATTATTAATTGGTGGATATAAGGGAATAATTATAATAAATTTTAAACGTTTGTTGTCTTTTTTAAAAAAATCTTGGAAATGCAGATCGAGGGACTTTGGAATTAAAAAAAGAAGCTTTTATGCTGTAATAAAGTAGAAAATTCTCAAAGAGATAAGAAAATGGGGAAAAGGGTATGATATACCCCTCAACTTTGTCATTTAGAGCTGATATACTCCTTGTTATGAAAGTAACTCATATATACCCCTACTTGTAAACAAATGACTCACATATACCCTTTTCCTCTAGCGGAATTGAAAAAAAATAATAATTTTAATCTAAATTTTTATTATTTTTTCTAAAAAATATAATTTCATATGAGTAAATTTAATCCTCATCAAACATATTTTTTTTGACTTTTTTTTGTTTCAACGACTAATTTATAATTATTATTTTGATAATCAAATTTATTTATGTTTCACTAATATTCTTGTAAAACTTATTATAGATGACCAAATTTTTTCTTCGAATACAAAATTAAATTACAATACACACAAAAAAATAGTTTAATTTTTTATTCTTTAAACTAAAGAATTAAAGAAAAAAACAAAATAAGAATAAGAAATTCAAATAATTATAATAAAAGAAGTCAAAAAATAATTTATGTATGAAAAAAATTAAAATATACCTTGAACTTTGATAAAAGAATCATATATACCCCTAAATAATTTTTTTAAATAAAAAATTAGAAGTAATAAATATAAATTTAAAACTAATTTTTTAACTTCTGTTAAATGAAGGGTATATGTGAGCCATTTTGTAACGGCAGGAATATATGTGAACCATTTGTATAACGGTAAGGACATATATGAACCACTTTTATAACGAGGGGTATATCAGCTCCAAATGACAAAGTTGAAGGAAATATCAGACCCTTTTCCCAAGAAAATGTCACACTAGAATGTTTTTATTACATGTGCAATTTATCTAAACAAAAATTATTCAATCATCTATTTGTTTCTGTTAACATCATAATGTTGCATTTAAATTGTAATTATTTTCATCTTTCCATCATTAAATAAATTCCTCTCTAAGAAGAAAGCTTTTCAAGAAATTGGAGAAAAGAAAATGAAATTAGGGTTAGAAGACATCAATTTAAAAAGAGGGTGTTTTAGCCACGTTGACCGCCTAGCTCGACATAGGCAATTTTTGACACATTAGATATCAAGTAGTAGTCTGTTAAAAGAAAGAATATTTGTGCTCCTTTAATTTTTGATACCAAAAATAAAGGAAAAAGGGATAAATATATGCTCGAACTTTTAAATATAATATACAAATACCTTTCGTTATACTACAGAGACACTAATGCCCCTGCCATCTAAAAAAGGGCACATTTATATCCTTCACACTAACGGACGGACACGTGGCATCATCCTATTCCTCTACCGATTTTAACCCAAAAATAAGAACCCACCCGAATTAATGAAAAAACCGCCCAAATATTCTATACCCACCCATTTACTAATTTCTTAATAATATACCCAAATCAAAATCCCCCCAAATTCTCGATGAATCCATATGGCGCCGATGCCGCTATTAACAGCGGCGTAATTAGTATGAAGAACTTCATCATCTAATCAATACTAAACTTCAGTTTCTTCTTCTTCTTCTTCCAAACAAAAAATTCTCATTTCTTGTTGTTTCCAACTTCAGGTCCGCTTGGTCGAGTTTGTTAAATTTGTAGAAAGGGAAAGGGGATGAGTAATTCAGAGAGCTTTCCGTTGGCTTCTGGTCATTTCTCCATTTTTTTCTTCCAATTGTGTAATGAGTTTCTTAGTATGACATCTTATTTGAGCTCTAAATCTTGTTGAAATTTTATTATGTGTTGTAGTATTGAGGTTTTAATTTTGATATATGGTGATTGATTGATAAAGAGTTTTTTTTTTACATGTTTATGTGTAAAGATTTTATATTTTCAGCTCATTTAGTGTAAATTTGAAAATAAAATTTGATAGATAGTGTAATGGGTTCTCTAGCAAATGAATTTTCCATCATGGATGAGATCTTTGATTATTGAGAATGGAGAAGGGATGATGACGGGATTGAGGGATTTGATTCAAAAATGCACTCTACAGATGTTTTAGATTGGGTCCGAATTTTTAATTCAGGTCAGGTAAATAAATAGTTGAGTGGGTTTTTAGTTTTTTAGGTTAAAGTTAACATAAAATTAAATAGGGTAAATTTTTAAGATGTCGCCCACGTGTCTCTCCGTTTAGTATAAGGAAATATATGAACCAAAAATATGACGGTAAGGATATATATAATCTCAAAATATAAAGAAGGGTATTTATATACCATTTTTTAAAATTTAGAGGTATATTTATCTTTTTTCCCAAAAATAAAAGAAGGGTGTATGTGCTCCATTTAATATAGTTCAAGAGTAATTTTGATCATTTTCATAAATGATTTGTCTAAATCTAAATTTAGATTCCCGCTTAAATAGTTACAATCACTTTTATACACTTGCAAGGGATGGGAGGGAATAAAATACAAACCATTTGCATACAGGTACATTTATAGGAGACATTGAAGTTCAAACAAATAGAATATCTGATTCTTGCTAGTTGCTACCATACAAATTCAAGTCCAATAGAAGTAGTGAAGTCAACTTGATGTTAGTGGTGTGTTGAGTGTCAAGCATCAAGCTTCTAATTCCCTGGGGAAACCACCTTACTTTGAGAGTAGCCCAAAGAAGGGATTTGTAATGGCAGAGTGCAAAACCATGCCAGCTGATCTCAGTAGCTCCATATTGACCTTGTTGCTGCGCAAGACCAACAAATCACCTTCCTCAGCTCTTTCAAACCCACAGAGTTGTAGAAACTGCACGCCTTCTTTGAAAATTCCAACTCTAGCCTGCCATCCTCGAGGAGAAAAGCAACATTAAAAGTAGACAAGATCCAAGCAACACAAAATGACATCATTTGAAATTGGCCAAGTTACAAAAACAAGCTATCCCGAATTTTACCAGATTTCTGATTCACAATTTCGGCCTACACAAAAAATGGCAATCTGCTACGAAACAACAGAAGAATGGTATTTCTGGAAACAGCACATTACATTTTCCGTTGCTAAATGTACCATGAGTGAAAGCAGATAAGACAATACAATTACACATCATGGTAGACTTATTGATAGGCAACACATCATACCTTTAGAATAGAAAGAGGGAATTTCTGAGGAACTACTGCACACATGGATCCGTGGATATGAATGAAATGGACAAGATTATATTGAATGAATCTAAAGATCCTAATCTACATCTACCCCATTACACAACCAACACTTCACAAATGTCACCACCATCAGATATACATGCAAAAAACTATGGAGAGAAAGAAGGGGGCAGGGTGAGAGACCCAGCTCCCAGCCTCTCTCCTCATAGTGATAAATGTCTCGAACCTAACAGTATAAGAAAATGAAGTAAAGTTTCATTCCTTCAGCATGTGCTTAAAGGTATTCACCTGGAAAGCTGGATTACTAAGCCGGATCTTCCTAAACTTCCCTTCATCGGGATTGCTAACTATGTTCCTCACATAAACTAACAGAGTTTTGAAGGCCCGTTGCACTTTCACATCCTCCTCCTGAAACATATGAACATTTGCAATATGATTATACTGGATGGAGCATGGTTTTCAAAGCTGGTATTTGATAATTCAGTATAACTTGATATTTTATAATACATATATTATTATAATTACTTTCCTGAACAGCCAGTAGCAAACACAAGGGAAGAAGCTAAAAGCTAGTTCGCATAGTCTTGTAAGAAACTGGAAACTTATTGAGAACTAAATAGTGAAATAGAAGAGACGACATTATCAGATACCTTGTGCTGACGCCTGAGAGATCTTAAGCATTCCATGAAAACCTCTTTGTTCGTAATTAAGTTACCAGATAACGCGGCAGAATCAACTTTCAAAGGATTCTGAGTTGTGAATTGTGATTTTAAAGAGAAGAATCAAAAGCAGTCAAATGGATGAATCCAATCAATCTTAGAAACCGTCAACAGATTTACAAAGCAAAATACCTTTGTCTCTGGCTCCGAGGTTTTAATGAATTTTGAAGATGTACCGCTATTGAAAGACGAACCTAGTCTAGCCCTCCTGTCTGCCTGTCAGGACATGAACTCACGACTTATCCCAGTCCAACAAGATCTGAAGTTGGGTATATAGGCTGCTTAACTAAATACAGAAATAAGGTCCATATAGCGAACCAGTATGCAAAAGTCTCAGTTCACACAAAAAAATAGAGTGGGCTACATTTATTCAAATTTGATAAAGAATAAAAAACAGATAACAGCACCACAAAATTTTCAGCATATCTAACTGCATTTGCACTAAATACCTAAACTTACTAAAAGAATGCAACTACAGCACATATCTGCATTTGATCATCAGATTAGTACTGTTTGGACAAGTACCGACAAAACTTGACTAACAATTACAAGTAATACCATGTCCTGCTGAAGCTTTTGACGAATTCTTTCCCTTGCCCTTCTCTCCTCCTCTTTTTCGGTCTTCCTCTGTGCTTCAAAACTGAAACACGAGCAAACTGTAGAAACTTAGAATAAGAAATTTTGACCAACTAAGCACAAAGTATTTTATTAACATAGCCAACTTAGAAACATACCGCTTCCTCTCATTTTCCTCTGCCATCCGTTTTGTTGCAAGCCGTTCTTTGCCTGCACGTATCCTTTCCTGCAAAAAAAACGAAACATTTAACATTTCGATAAGTAGAACACCTCCACATATAACAGCTGAACACTAATAATTCTGTGAGACCACACACACTAGTTTCAAATATGAACAGTTGACAGAACAAGCAGAAGCTGGAAATTACAAAAAAATTTAAATAAAGTGAAACAATAACTAACTGCACATTTCTCAGCAATGCGCAGTAGGTTATTAGTTTAGTTTCAATCATAGATATGTAGGGTTTTTAGATCAATGCATTTCAAATTATCTCATTAGGTACTCCCTGAAATCTTTCCATAATTGCTTCAAGGCTAAAAATACATGGATTTAACATCTTTGCATTACCATTAGTTAGTGAAGCATGTTTTTTTGTTGGTTGACATTAGTCACTCTTTGGATCTTAAGTTTAAAGTTGATCCAATAAATGGGAAGTAATTTATAGAAGGTGATGCCATCTCTCGAACAGTGAGCCTAGAATCCCTGCATTGGTTTGCATTCACTTGTTCATGTTGAAAATTAATCAAATCATGCATCAAACATTCATCACATCATTCAATCAAAGCCATTAGATCTCTCACATTAAGCATATTGACAATGAACTTTCTTCATTGCGAATCAGAATTTAAACCAGAGGAAGTTCTTACGAGAAAAGGAATATACTCCATACCTTCTCCCTTTCCTTGTCCAGTTTTTTCTCTTCCTCCTCTCTCCTCTTGCGTGCTCTCTCCCTATAAAAGTAGAATTTTCATTCAACGAAAGCTTCAGAAAGGAAAAATGTAGTAATAAAAGACCGAAAACAAGCCATATGCTAAATCCCAGCGAAGCAGTTTCAAAATTTAAACAAGAGTCAAGGAGATAATACTTCCAATGACGGTTTCCAATTTTTGGATTAAACACCAAACCTCCTCATGAAACTTTGATATAAAATCATACCTCAGCTCTTGTGCTTTCAACTTTGCTTGTTCCGAATCAAAAGTAGGAGTAGGAGTTTCAATAATGTCGACTGAAACCTGTACGCAACTCTCTTGTTAGAACTTCTAGGATTGAATTGTACAATAGGACAGTTATACAAGATAAGAAACATGAAAATTAAACCAAAGGTGTGCTGGATTTAGTTCAACTCCAGGTTTTTCTGGAATATCATCCATTTTTATCGACTCTATTTATGTTTTTCCAATTTGACGATGAGTTACTTTTACTCTGTTTTACCCAGAGCATTTTTTATTTTTTATTTGAAGAAGCAAAGCTATTTCAGAGCTTAAGTAACTCGACTATGGCGAACAAGTTTACTTCATTTAGTTTTCCTGCTTTATCGCTATCACTTCTTCGAGTAATGTACTAACTTTGCAATTGAATCAGAGAAGGTTTTGCAGGTTAAGTAGAAACGATGAAGTCAGGCATGAAGATGCTGTAGATGATCCAGAAGCCATTGCTTCCATGGTGGATATGTGAGTTAATTTTGAAAACAGAAAATAAAAATTTTGCAAATTTGAAGCATATTTAGGAACAAATTACCTATTAGAAACCAACATTCAAAATTACAGAAAGTAAAAACAAAATAGACTTAGCTTATTAAATTTTAAGAACTACTTTACTTGAAAGTAAGCATGCTCAAACAAAATATACTTCTCGCTCTCATACCTATTTTGCTAAAATTTTCACCATATTAGTTTTGAAGACACCACTAATGTATCTGATGTAGAATGTTCTTCTTAATTTTGACTATAAAACTTAGAAAGCTCCAGTTAATCATCTCCTGTAAGCACTAGCCATTGGAACTTAATTCACCATCCACCTTATATATCAAGAGAAGTGGAAAAACACTCCAAGGTACTCTACTGTACCTCTCTCAAATACTTCAGCCATGTTATAGTAATGACTCTCTCTTCTTTGAAGATGAACATATTTGCATACTGTTGCAACAGCATCCCGAATGGATGTCCAAATCTTACAACCATTGAAGGTGAAACTATTACTAAAAATGCACTTGGAACTTACAATTCAATTAATTTCTCTCTGAACTTATTCTCATCTTAAAAGTTACAATCAAGTCACAAACGAAGTTATCAAATTAACCAGACACACTGTTGTACATGGTAAGAAAGGCAATCATCATTCTTTCAGTGTTAACCTACATACCATGGGCATCTCATCATTGTTTGCCTCATCCTCATGATCCACAATCCAATTTACTGCAGCCTCAAGGCTTGAGTTACCTGAAAAAAGTAATGATTTGGAATCATAGAAGTGGAGAGTTCAGTTAACCACAAAAGGATACATCTACAAGAT